AATAAATTTTAACGCTAGCAATAAAAAAATATGAATTTATTTTATTATAAATATCATGTAAATTAATAAAATTAAATAATTAATAAATTAAATATTATTTTTTATTTTTTTTAAAAACCCTTAACTTATGGCCTTAAAAGGTAAATTAAAAAAATCCTAATAAATAATTTAACTTTTTCCTCTCTTCTCTTCTTCTCTCTTTCCTTTCCGTCGATTCTCTTTAATGCAAAGATACAGTCACATTAATTATTTATGAGTGACGGCTATAACCACGCCTCAAACTTGCCCCATGTCTTTTACCCGTGCAAGGAACAAACTTTGAAACTTCCGCTGTTGACTCTTCTCCCCCGACGCCCATTTAAAAACTTCCATTGAAATCTTCACTCTCACACTCTGCAGCAATTCAATTCAATTCATATTCAAACCTCTCCAATTTTTCAACATTGGACAGAGAAAAAAGGGAAGGGAGGTGATATCTAGCTAGCGTTTGCAAGTTTGAACAGATCGGAAAATTCCAACGCCCATCTCCATCTCCACCTCCACCTCAGAACACCTCTCTCTTATGGCATCCAACAATCTACGTGTTCTTTAGTGGCAGCTGGTCGTTGGCATGGTTGCATCCACCCTCTCTTAAACCACCCAACTACCCAAATACCCATCTCTTTCATTGTCCTTGTTTAAATCCTGTTCAAATCAAGCATTTATATATACCCCATATCACCCTTTTTCTTCCTCAGAAGAAACCCAGTTCGAAAATCAGTCGAAGATTCCATTTTTCGAGTACCCATCATGAGTTCTGAGCAAAACTCCACCACCCCCAATGGGGTTCAGATCCAGCCAGGCAGGAGACTGCCTGATTTCTTGCAAAGTGTCAACTTGAAGTATGTTAAGCTTGGTTATCATTACTTGGTTAGTCATCTCTTGACACTCTGTTTGGTCCCTTTAATGGCGGTTATAATCCTTGAAGCATCACGGTTGGACCCAGATGACATTCACCAGCTATGGCTCCATCTTCAGTATAATCTTGTGAGTGTCATTGTTTTCTCTGCTTTCCTTGTTTTTGGGAGCACTGTTTACATCATGACCCGACCCAGATCGGTTTACCTCGTTGATTACTCTTGTTACCGTCCTCCTTCACATCTGCAAGTCAAGTTCCATCGGTTCATGGAGCATTCAAGGCTCACAGGGGACTTTGATGAGTCCTCTCTGGAGTTTCAACGCAAGATTTTGGAGAGATCGGGGCTTGGAGAGGAGACTGTTGTGCCTGAAGCGATGCACTCCCTTCCTCCAAGGCCCTCAATGGCTGCAGCGAGAGAGGAGGCAGAGCAGGTGATGTTTGGTGCATTGGATAATCTTTTTGCCAATACTAATGTTAAGCCTAAGGATATTGGGATTCTTGTTGTTAATTGTAGTTTGTTTAATCCAACCCCTTCACTGTCTGCTATTATTGTTAATAAGTACAAATTGAGGGGTAACATTAGGAGTTTCAATCTTGGAGGTATGGGGTGCAGTGCTGGGGTTATAGCTATTGATCTTGCTAAGGATATGCTGCAAGTTCATAGGAATACTTATGCAGTAGTAGTTAGTACTGAGAACATCACGCAGAATTGGTATTTTGGGAACAAGAAATCCATGTTGATTCCAAATTGTTTGTTTAGAGTTGGGGGTGCTGCTGTTTTGTTGTCCAATAAATCTGCAGACAAGAGAAGGGCTAAGTATAAGATTGTTCATGTGGTGAGAACACATCGTGGGGCTGATGATAAGGCATTCAAGTGTGTTTATCAGGAACAGGATGATGCTGGGAAAACTGGGGTTTCATTGTCTAAGGATTTGATGGCTATCGCCGGAGGGGCACTTAAGACCAACATCACCACCTTGGGTCCCCTTGTTCTTCCCATAAGTGAGCAACTTTTGTTCTTCCTGACCTTAGTTGCCAAGAAGTTGTTCAACGCGAAAGTGAAGCCCTATATCCCAGATTTCAAGCTTGCTTTTGATCATTTCTGCATACATGCTGGAGGAAGAGCTGTGATTGATGAGCTTGAGAAAAATTTGCAACTTCTGCCAGAACATGTTGAGGCCTCCCGGATGGCTCTCCATCGATTTGGTAACACCTCATCCAGTTCAATTTGGTATGAGCTGGCTTACATAGAGGCAAAGGGGAGGATGCGAAAAGGGAACCGTGTTTGGCAGATTGCTTTTGGAAGTGGTTTCAAGTGTAACAGTGCAGTCTGGCAGGCCCTCAGAAATGTGAAGCCTTCAACCAATGGTCCTTGGGAAGATTGCATTCATAGGTACCCAGTGCAGTTATCTCTGTAGCTCAACTAAAATTCATTTAGAGAAGGGCAACTAGATAGATCACATAGGCAATTAGAATGTTCTCTTGTTGTGCCCCCTCCCCCCTCCCCCCCCCCTTTTTAAAATTTTTCCTGTGTTAAATTTGTGGGTTCTGTTATGTATTGCTTGGTATTGATGGTCATAATAGTGTATTTGAACCCTGGTTCTTGTATTTGTTTATTTGATGATTTGATGGTGAATAGAGTATTGATATTTGAATGCCTGCTTTTCTTTGAAGGTAAATCCAATCCATATGTAAACCATGTAAACCATACTTAGTGGCATTACGTTACATGCCCCTTTTAATCAAGCAAATGGAAAAAAGGTCCTGTGGAAATTGTCAATATTTCTCACGTTTTCTGCTTTCTTTCTTATTGAATTGCCTTATGTTCCTGCATTATCCTTGTAGAGGTATGCCAACTGATTGACTAACCTCCTTGAGCTTTGCTTTGTTAGATTTATCTGTCACTGAAATTACGGATCCAAGTTGTTTATTAAACTTCATTAAATTAGTCAACATCAATATCCTCATATTTATAAGTTTTATGCTACTGAATTGCGGAACCAAGAATGTGGGTGCATCTGCCTTTCGGTCAAGTCATGTTGTGCAGAACTTCTGATCTGATTCATGAGAAGCAGAGATGTAGGATGAGATAATGTTTATTTTATAGGGTTGCAACACTGAGTCTGTGGAACTTTAATGTCTTGTTTAATGCAAAGCAATTGTTTATTCTTTTTAGTTTCGTATCAGGAATCTTTAAAAAATGTTGTCACTTGATGGCATCCATGAAGCCTCTTGTAGTTAATTAAGGATTAAGGAATTACTAATGCATAACTTTCACCTACTCCCTGAAGTTGACTGACAAGTAGGAAATTCTGCTGTGTATTACTTGTCCTGTTAGCATTGTTTATTCATAACTTCACAACAATATATTGTTATTTGCAGTGCACGTTGAAGTGCTAAAGTTCAACAGGGAGACATCACTGACATCAAAGCCTGATTAACTTCACAATTCAGCAACCATTTTATTCGATATTGTTATCTGTACTCTATATCTACAGGGAGGCATTGCTGATAGCAAAGTCATAATAAGTTAATGCATTAGGTTTTTCATGGTGTGTATTTTGTTTGACATATTGTTTTCTTTCGGCAGGTGAAAAATAAAGGTATTTCTTATGCGTGAAGATAGTTTGTGCTCTCATGTCCTTTGACTATGATGTAGTAGTATAGTCCTATTGGTTGGCTTGACATTATTGCTTCATCGTTACTACTAAGAAAAATGTAACACAAGTGCATGAATCAAACTAGGAGTGACATTAAATTATGGACTTGACCTTGTTTGTTAGATATCTGTATCCCTTTTTTTAGGAAGAAGCAAGTGAATCTTCTTGCCTTTACCAAGACAAGGTTGCGGAAATTTCCTCAGAAAACGACTAAATTAAATTTTTCTTTTTGTTTTTTGTTTTTTGTTAGAATAGGAAGATGAAGACGAACGCAGAGGAAGAGGAATATGGTGGAGCAAGATAAGTGAGGATCAAAACTTCCAAATTCTTGTATTCTCAATCGCTTTCAAATGTCTTCTCTCTATAGATTATGTTTCCTTGTTTTCATGGGGTAAGCTGTCTATCTCTTTCTCTTGAATTTCTTCTCTTGGAGTTTTCCTCTTAAAAGACCCAATGGAAGACCAAAAGTATGAATTGGCATTTCTTGTTTCAGTATCACATTTCACATCCATTATGTGGGAATAAAAATAGAAATGAACCTCATTTGATCCCATAAATCCGCTTTAAAAGGTTATAATTAATTTTGTATAATGTTCGAAAAAGAGGAAAGTGAATGGTTCTTTTACCTGTTAGGATGGTTTCTTATTGATGTTAGGATAAAATTATTAGTTTTTTTTTTTTTATTTTAATTGTGTAATGAGAGACAATCATCTCTCATTTTTTATTTTATTCTAGTCGTATGCCATGTAATTCTAACTCAATACCATTTATTTTTAACGAAAAAAAATGATCACTAAATTATTAATATTGAGCAATTAAAAAGGAAAAAAAGAACATGGAAAAGACCTTTAAAACTTTCCTAAAGTTGTGCTACTTTTGCAAAGTGGGTAACCAAATTTCTCTATTAAATGTGAAACAAATAACTGACAGTGACTCTTAACTTCCTCATTGTTAATATTAAATATTTGATATAGTTAAAAGAATTTAATATAAAACTTTTAAAAATCTTTATATGTTCTTTATCTATTAAATTATATAAGAGAAGGTAATATTTGTCTGAAATATACTTGTGATTAAGTTTGGTTTATTTGAGAGTAACCTATATAACACGAGAAATGACCCTCCCTTGCTTTTTGGTTCTTTTTTCACTTTTTTCTTTTATAAGAAAATTTTTTAAGAGTATTATATTTTATCGTTCAAATTATATTGAATTATAAAATATGAGTCATTAGATAAGGATGAAATCTCCAATATTAAAGAGTTTATTCTCATTTAATTATTAAAATTGTGTAATTTGATATAGTCTGATTTACATAATATATATATTTTTTAGTAAAAAAAATGAAACTATCTTGGGCCAAGATTTCCCTTCAATTTCAGGCTTCAAAGTTTGGATTGTTGGTCCTTTTGAAGCGGACCTTGGTTTAGATCCCTTAGAGCCCAACTGTTTCTACTTTCCTTTCTCCTTGAACTCAGCATGTTACTGCTGTTATCTGCAGTCCCCATGAACCAAAAACAGGTAAGGGAAAGGCAATACAATATCAAATCAGAGGGTTAAAGGAGATATAAATTTATTTTATTTATTTTATTTTATTTTTTGACACAAGGCAATTATAATCCTCCTGGCTATTGTTATAAGGGGGAAGGGCCGAGGGGGACGCAAGGGAGATGTAATTAAAGACAGTATTTGGTGCAATGAATGTACCATGTCGGTGGTTGTACCATTATATATCTTCAGGCCAATAGAGAGTTGAATCTTAAAATATTTTTATTCAAAGACACCTAAGTAAGCACAGACGAGCAAATTCACTGATTAAAAAAAGTATTATTTTATAAATTAAATCTATAATTTAAATTTTTGAGTAGTAGTATTTGAAGAAATTAATATTCCTTTAAAATTATTCTCAAAATACATAAAAATTGATATAAAAAACATCCTAATAATGAAAAAAAGAAAATGATATCTAAGCATTGAACTAATAACAAGACATGAGAAATTTGTGAGTCACAAAATCTCTACCAAGTGTTTAAAATGGGAGTTTAGTTTAGTTTAGGTAATTCTCTTAAATTTTTTTTA